TTTTGATTTTCAAATCATTCTTATATGAAATAACCATCAGGAAAACAACCTAATTTTTCACATGCCACCTGGCCTAAAGCTGCCAGAAAGCCATGTACCCACAGCTAAGCTGTGTACTCAGCAGCCCTCCAACATTGTTTTCCCAGACTTCATGAAATCCCATGTCTTTGGCAAAACCTGCAGTTTTGTTCTGCAATCAATTTACTCAATATCCAACACCCTGGGGAGATACTGACAAACTGGACAGACAAACTCGTCAGCAATCAATAGGAAGGAATAATTGAGTAGGGACCAGTTTTAAAAGTGGTCAGGTCATAGCAGATATTTTTGTGTTATGATGATGTTTGATTTCCTACACTATCTCATGTCTCTGGGGACTCCAATAATGAATACTGGATAATGAGGACCTATATTTTTAAAAACAACAAAGTGAAGTTAATTATTTTAGACTCGAAGCCTTTCAAATGATAATGATAATCTATTGATATTCTTCTTAAAACTTCATGCAAGACTCTGAGATTTACAGGACTACCTACATTCATTATAAAACATCTGGAAATTTAAAAGTTTGGGGGCTTTAATGTTTCTTCTGCCTATTTTCCAATTTTTAAAAAAATCTGTGTCAGAGAACAATGATGCCTAAATTAGTAAAGAGGAACTAAGTAGTTTTTTCGGTTTTTCAACTAGACAAAGCACTGATATAATCAGAAATTCAAAGAGCATTTCCTCATGTATAGACATCACCATTTCCTTTGTAGGTTAATGAATACTGAGACAAAACCTGTGCTATCATCATAAAACAGGATTCTGCATTACAGGTATCCCCGAAACATTTGTGTCTATGACTAACAGTTACAGAGTTTCAGAGATGAATCACCTCAAAAAATCTCTACCTCTCACATATATGTATTGCAAATGAGGATATATATGAATTTAAATAATCAGCAGCAATATAACTATTTGAATATAGATCTTAAGTATTGTGTTCTTAGAGGACATGTGAACCAAGCAAGCACCTGTCCCAGAGAACATTATTTGTAAATTATAACAAAATTTCTCTGCAACAGAGTGGTAGGTTTACCTGAGATTGTGCGTTGACATTGGCTCCATTTGTAACCAAGACCTTTACCACCTCTGCCTGCCCAGCCAAAGATGCAATGTGCAATGCTGTGTTCCCTTTCTGTAAAATGAAAAGCAATACACATCAACTCACCCACCTTTCCAATCCTTCATGGTTGATCAGTTCACCAAACAGAACAAAGTTAACAAATATCTCATGATAAGTGTACCTTGATTCTTATTAAGGGCTGAATCCTCACTGAATTTGGCAAGTTCTATGAACAGCATTAAATATGACATACTGACCTTTGTGGCTGCGTCTACATTGGCTTCTCTCTGCAGCAGCTCAGAAACCACTTCTACGTGGCCTTCTTTGGAAGCGAGATGGAGAGCGTTCAACCCATTCTGATGAAAAGCAAAGGGAAAGCTTTACTCAGCAGGTTGAAAATAGAGCAGTAACAGTCCACCAAGAACTCCTGAGACAACAGCCCACCAACAATCACTTGCATACAGAAAAGTGAATGAGAAACACAAATACTTGAAAACTAGGTGGTTTGTTCTGTTATCATTATTTACCAAATTTAAGGAATTAATTATTAAGGCACATATATCTACATTTCTGAATGTTCCTTTAACAAAGCAGAAAATAATTTGACAATGTTAAGCTGGTAAAATTTAACAGAAAAATTTGACAAAAAAAAAGAAAGTAGTGGTTATATTTAATAAAACCTTTAAGGAGTTTAGAGTCTGGATTTTTAAAATTTTGACTAAAAAATTAAATAACAACTAACCTGATTGCAAATGTTGATGTCAACTCCGTTTTTTATGTAGTCAAGGGCCTTTTCTAGGTGTCCAGCTCGAGCTGCTCTTAAGTAACTTGCATTGGCATCAGACTAAAATTAAAAAGAAAAACATTTTGATGAAAAAGAAACAGATATGTTTGTTTATAACTACCCAGGTTATAGTCTAAGCTAAAATGAAAGTAATTGAACTATTTTGCTTCTAATATAAAAACATTAATAAAAGTTCTTTGTAAAGTCACTAGGGAAAGGACAAATTCTTTAAAGGTTAGTTTTAAGTGTACAAAGTTACCCCTTCTGTGATGCCATAACTTTTTTTTTTTTTTTCCTTCTTGTCTTTTTTACTGACCGGTAACGGGATCGCAACCCTCGGT